AAGTGCAAATATCCTTAAATTCCTTTTTTCCATTCTGATGGAAATTCTTTTTTTTTTTTTTTTTTTAAAGAAGTCTCTTATGCCCACCAAGGCTGCATTTATTTGATCCTAAATACATAGAAAAACAGTAATATTGTGAAAGTTTATTGCAATTTAAAATAACGGTTTTCTTTTATTAATATAATTTTAAAAAAACATTTGTTTTCAAGTGACACAAAGCTGAATTTTCATCAGCCATTATTCCAGTCTTCAGTGACATGATCCTTCAGAAATCATTATAATATGCAGATTTATTATTATTATGTTGTGCTGCTTAATATTTTTTGGAACCTGTGATCCCTTTTTTTCAGTTTTTTGTTTTGGACAAAATATTTCTATTTTGAATAAATGCTGTTTTCTTTACTTTTTTATTCATCAAATAATTCTTGAAAAAAGTATAAATCAATCAATAAGCTGCACAACTGTTTTCAACACTGATAATCAATCAGCATATTAGAATGATTTCTGAAGGATCATATCACACTGAAGACTGGGGTAATGATGCTAAAAATTCAGCTTTGCGTCACAGAAATAAATTAAAATAGAAAACCATTATTTTAAGCTTTGCATCACAGAAATCAATTTAATTTGAAAGCATATTAAAATAGAAAACCAGTATTTTAAATGTCACAATATTATTGTTTATACTGTATTTTTAATCAAATAAATGTACCCTTGATGAGCATAAGAGACTTCTTTAAAAAACATTAAGAATCTTACTGATCCCAAACTTTTAAACGGAATTGCTAAATAAAATAATTGTTAAAATAACTGTTTTATATTTGAATATATGTTTAAATGTAATTTATTCCTGTGATGCAAAACTGAATTTTCAGTAGCAATTTCTCCATGTAACGTGTCACATTCAAAATTCTTATTATCAACAGCTGTGCTGCTTAATATTTTTGTGCAATATTAAATTTTTAGCATTTATTTAAAATAGAAATATTTTGTCACATTATAAATGTATTTACTGGATATTTTTTGTTCAATATAATGCATCTTTGATTAATAAAAGTAATAATTTCTTAAATCTTACAGACCCCAAACTTTTGAATGATAGTATGTGCAATTAATGAAAAGTACAAAAAAAAATTTGTACAAAAATTTTGCATTTTCCATGTAATGATTACAGGACACCTATAGTTTAATTGGAGTTCAGCAGATTGTTTTTTTTGACCTGGGATCAGCTCATAACCTTTGTAAACTTTGTGAACACCACATTGCGATAGTAAAGTGACTACTTTTCCGTAGTTATACGCTCAAGTTCGAGTCTTGTTTTTGTTAGTTAAAGAGATGCAGCAGTGTCACTAGATTTGAGTCTGTTCTGCATGGAGTCCTTTCTAGATGCAGTGTATTGATTGGCTGTGTACACAGGAGAATATGTGCTACTGCGAAGCTGGTAAATTGGTCTCCAACTTTAGCTTAGCCTGAGGTGATGTAATACCACAAATGCTTGCACAAGAACTCAATTCTTAATTTATCCGCTCTATCCTTTGCAGGATGATATCTACATGTTTGGTGGGAAGCTGGAGGCAGGCTCCGGGAACGTAACAGATGAACTGTGGCTGCTTGATACACGTAGCCGTTCTTGGTCCCTTAGAACACCCAGCCCTGGGCTGCAGGTCCAACCCTTCGCCGTGGAGGGACATACCGCTCACATAGTGGACACTAGGAATGGAGAACCCATCATGGTGGTGCTTTTTGGCTATTCACCCATTTACAGCTACCTCAGCCACATCCAGGAGTACAACATTCGTAAGTACTGATATGTGCCTGTGCCTTAAAATATTATGAAAAATATTCTTCACATGAGCCGAGAGTGTAGAGACTGCATTGATGTCAGTCTGACAAACACAGACAGTTCCTCTGGCTTCCAGCAGATGGCAGTGTATTATAACATTTAATTAGCGTAGGGTTTTAGTGATGACATGGTGAGTTGACATGGCCAGACTCATTAAAGGGAAGGTTTTCCACTTTCTTTTCTTTCGGTTGTATTTTCTACTCGACTCGCTCCACTCTCTGTCACAAACACACACCCACTGAAACGCACACTCGTGCTTTAGGTCATTAAGAAGTGGTGGTACCTGAAGTGCACTGTCTGGGATTGAACAATGATTCATTTGTCTGAGCTCTGTTGAGGCTCCACTTAAATCTCTCTTTCTCATGCTCTCGCTTTCCCCCTCTTGCTCTTTCTCCATTCGTACTCGCTAAATGAGTACATGAGCTTATTAAAGCTGGTGAAAATGATGGCAAACGCACCTCACTACACATCTGTTAAAATTTATGACATAAAGAACTTGGCGAAATTAGAGTGAAGCAATATTTGAAGAGAGGCTTTCTTAAACTTTAGATATCTGTAAAAATTCAAGTGATGTAACAAGTCAGGAAAGCAATGAAAGGCAGAGACCACTTGACCCTGGGATCCTATGTCTCTGTAACACTTAGTCATGTGTAATTCATCACAGATGTTCTACCAGAGAGCAGCAACTAAGTCTTGAAATCAGTCATGCTGAATGTCAGCATGTTAGAAGTTGTTACACCACAATGTTATCTTCTGTTTAAAAACTAGTTTTAATGTATTTATTTATTTGTATTTTCTCAATTTGAAGAAAAAAGGTTGAAAAACAATGTTGCATTGGCCGGGAATCGAACCCGGGCCTCCCGCGTGGCAGGCGAGAATTCTACCACTGAACCACCAATGCTTACATGACATATGTGTTTAGTGGCACGTGGTCACCCATCCTGCCCCTCACTAGAGTTTAGACATAGATTCTTAGATTATACATAGATTTGCTAGACAGAGATTTTAGTTTCCTTCCATGTAAGATCAATGAATGGAACATTAAAATTGTGTTTCAAGCATATGTGCTCAAATATTTTAGCACTTAAATACAACAACATTAATAATAATAATAATAACAATAATGTATAATAAGGGTCCACTGAAGGCGAGCATTGTGAGAACCCAAGTGCAGTTTTATTATATTCCAAAAGTTAGTAGATAAACAGTAAAGGCGTGGTTTGGCCTGGCCTGGCATTGTCTCACCAACAGTCCGTGTTGCCAGATTGGATTGAAGATCTCCAGCCCAACTACAGTGTAAAACCCGCCCATTAAAAAAAATACCAGCCTAAATGTGTAGTAAAAAATAAATAAATTATATATATATAATTTTATAAAAATTTTTTTGCAGATTTATTAAAAAAGAAAAACTGAAATATCACATGGTCCTAAGTATTCAGACCCTTTAATTTCAAACTCTGAATTGAATTCATTTGAACTAAAAAAGACAAGTAAACAATCAGTAATAAAATAAGAATAGATAAATGACAAGCAATGGCACAAACAAATACAATAACAAGATACAAACAATAAATGAACTGTGCTTTAAGTCTTTCAAGTAGGTATAACAGTAATATTCAGGTACAGAAATACCACTGATACCGAATAATCTATATATCATAACTTTAAAATAACACTAGTCTTTAATGTATAAATAAACATTAGTGACAGACAGCAGCAGGTTTATTTAGGTTGCTGTCTCTTTAAGACCTCATGCACGGAACTGTTTACATTAACTTAATAGCCTATACACAGACAATGTTTTGTATAAATCGACTGTTTACGTGAATACTCATCAAGATGGGCATTTTGAGTAGGGATGCAGCGATTAACCGGTTTCGCGATTAACCGCGCTTTAAAACGTCACGGTTAATTAATCGTAAAGGTTCCGCTAAACCGAGTGTTTCTGTTACACATAACGTAACTGTTGCAGCTTGCGCAAAACGAAAACAAAGTTACACTAGCGGTGCACCAGCTTAAAATTAGGTGCTTATCAGAGGCACGGAGGCTACTACATGCATTAGATGAACTGTGACAGAGGGACCAAACAGCGAAGCTTTATTTCCACCAGAGAAACGCCTGTCGATAGTGTGGGACCATTTTGGCTACACCAAGAATGACCAGGGTGTCATTTAAATATTGCTGTAAAAAACTGCTGCTAAAGAGCAAATACATAAGGGATAAACCACGGCTAGCTGTACGTTGAACGATTTTAAAGCATGGCATGAAGGCAAGAACCACCTGACGCGAAGCTACAGCTCGTTAGCTCAGCATTCTGCCCGCTTCAGATCAGAAAGAGATGAAATAGTGCGGTAAAATCACATTTATTTGAATTATAACATTTAGCTACAGTGGTGTGAAAAGGTTTTTGCCCCCTTCCTGTTTTTTTTTATTTTTTGCATATTTGTCACACTTAAAAGATTCAGATCATCAAACAAATTTTAATATTACACAAAGATAATGCAAGTAAATGCAAAATGCAGTTTTTAAATTATGATTTCTTTTATTAAGGGAAAAAAGCTGTCCAAATCTGCCTGGCCCTACGTGAAAAAGTAATTGCCCCCTAAATCTAATAACTGGTTGTGCCACGCTTTGCAGCAACAACTGCAATCAAGTGTTTGCGATAACTGGCAGTGAGTCTTTCATATCGCTGTGGAGGAATTTTGGCCCACTCTTCTTTGCAGAATTGTTTTAATTCAGCCACATTGGAGGGTTTTCGAGCATGAATGGTCTGTTTAAGCATCTCAATCGGATTTATGTCCGGACTTTGATTTGGCCACTCCAAAACCTTAATTTTGTTTACCTTGAGCCATTCAGAGGTGGACTTGCTGGTGTGTTTGGGATCATTGTCCTGCTGCA